CCACACCACCACACACACACACACACACACACACACACACACACACACACACACACAACACTCACACTTATAGATACACACGGGCGCGCACACACATACACATATACACAGGCGAAACGATCGTTACTTGGCGGGCAATAATTTTGGATACACATACTTAATACTCTCGGTGAGGAAACATAGTTAACGTCCGTTACGTTCATATCCAGCAAGCACAAATATGCGATATTGTATACATATATTGTATTTTTACCGATAATGAGTTTATTCCTCCTTCGTATTTCCCTCGTTTCCGATTTATACGTAGACATCGGCTTGCACGCCCGGCGCTTTCTCCCCCGCGATCTCCGAGTCACGGAGGAACATCCACCGTCGATCCCGAGCGACTATCTTTCCGCACGTTTGTGCACACGATGATGCGATATAGATCCCCGATCGGCGACGATCGGGAAAATGCTTACGCTACAGATAGGACACATCCACATGTTAAAAATACGTTTAGTCTCGCTATTGGTATCTTACGACTTCATGTATGTTCGCGCGCGATCATCGCTGATCCTCTCATTCTATTTCTTTCATCCCTTCATTCTCTCGCCATACAAGAAAAGCACCACTTTATAATACAAATTCGTCTCGTCCTTAATTGCCTAAAGCCGCAAACGGAATTCAAGCTCGAGACCGCACGATCGAGTCCGCACGATCGCTACTCCTCATTGAAGATACCAAGAGGATCGTCTCTTCTTCGGTTTCTCTTCCGCTTCTCGCCAAGGCCATTCATGGTTGAAACACATACCGCGCGTTCTATATTCGTTCCCGCATTGTATTCGTCATCGAATGCCGTACTTGTACGTCACACTTGCCGTCCTTTTCTAAGTACGACATTTGAAATATCTTCGAAAGAGCAAAACTCGCACTCGTGATTCGTGATTCGTCGACATCCTCGTCGATGTGATCAAGGTCGTCTCTTCTGATTCGTACTCTCTTTGCATTTATCCTATCGCCGCAGAAGGCTGCTATGTCAATGTAAAGCTATATATTGACTAGTTTCTCTCACTCTCTCGTCGCTCTCAACTACGAATGGCCTGTTCTCCGATTCTTTCTCCTTCTCTCTTCCTTTCCTTCATGCCTCGCGATATAATTATAGTTATCTTGTGTCAATGCGGTGTATCGTTGAACATGCACGATTCGTACGCGCGAATTGGTATCACGATCCACCGTTTACTTTAGGCCTCGAGCGCAAGCTTCACGAGCTTGCCTCGCCTAGCCTCGCACGAACGTACTCAGAAAACTCCAGATCCTGGAATATAAACTTGCAAGCTGGCAATGAGCTCGAGCTACATCCGCGCCGTACTCTAGAAAGGATCTCACAATGTTCCGTCTTTCTTTCCAAGCTCACGATTCGGAATTCGGAAAACATACACTCTTCCGATTCTTATCTTCTCTTCTCCCGCCGTTGCTATAAGGCTTTCGCGGATCTGCCAATCGCGAATCGGTCGCGCAGTTGGTCGGTGGAGCGAATAATCGGTGAAACCCGCGTTCCTCCGCGTGTTTTTAACACTCTTACACCCTACATACCCTATACCTCGCGGTATATATATTTATAATATATTATATATAATATAACGTTATAGTGTTTTTGGCATCTTTGAAATACACAAATAGACTTTGGTATAAAACTTTTTGATAGTGTTCAGTACATTTATATATATGCGCGTGCATATATATGGACGCTGCGCTACAGCGTGCTACAGCCCAATTTTTTTATCCCTCATCGACTTTCACATATCCGTTTCTCTTTCTCTTCTTCTCCCTCTCTCTCTCTCTCTCTCTCTCTCTCTCTCTCTCTCTCTCTCTCTCTCTCTCTCTCTCTCTCTCTCTCTCTCTCTCTCTCTCTCTGTTTCTATTTCCGGTGTTTCACTCGAAAATTTCTGCGGCCTCGATACTGGACAATGTCCCCGCGCGAGGGGACGATACGACTGACTCTCAAATCACTCTAGCACATTTTGTCTAACCACCAGAGCTTACAGGACGGCGCGCCTCTCCTCCTGCGTCGCTTCTTATTTGACTGGTCGACAGCCTTTTTCACGAATTTGATGTTATAGGGATCTTCCGCGAGCTCAGGGTACTGTTGCGCGTCGTGTATGTACTCGCCGTCATAGTTGGACGAGAAGCCAATTTTTATTATTTCATCCTGCTCGGCGACCATCCATTCGACGGACGTAGGTGTGTTCGCTTTGAGAGCCTCGCGTTCCCGATGCCATGCCTTCCTAATGGCGGTCGTCTTCGCGTGATGCAGTAGTCTCTGCTTTTCTTTTTCCGCTGTGGTGCCATAGCGCAGGTTTACAACATAGCTGGCGCCGTGTATTTTTACATCAATTAGCGAGCTACTACCACTGCCGTTTTCGTTCTCGTGGAACGTCGTGTTCACTTGACCTCCTAAACGTTTCAGCTGACCGCGATCCTCGCTGGCGCGCCAGGTTTCCTCTTTGACGAAGTAGAAGGCGTCCTGCTGCGCGCTATGCACGACGAATGTGAACGGCAGGAAGTACGAGCGATTGAACACAGATGTGAACACGTCACCATAAATAGCATTAGCACTGGGCACGCTGGACACTACCGCCTGGCCGTCGGCAGTTCTCGACACAAGGATACCTTTGCCGAATGGCGGATCGGACGCTGCACCTAGCCGGCTGGGTATCAACTCGCTGGTATCTTTCTTCAGGGCTGATCGCGGAGGTGCGGACAGGCTCATCGCATCTCCCGAGTGCCTCTGAGCGATATGAGCGAGGAAACCAGACTGGACGCCCAGATTGCGCGTTCTCTTCTTCTTACCAAATATAGAGGTTCCCGGACCAAGTGCCCGCGGAATAAGACTTTCCGGCAGTTCATCCGGGAACAACTGCGGCGCTAAGCTCTTCAGATCATATCCGAGATGCGACAGCCATGATATGTGATCTGAAAGATGAAGATATATCAAATATAGAATCTACGTTGATATAGATTAATTAATCGATGATTGTGATACTTACCGGTTGGTTGACTTGGTCTGTCCGTATGTCTAACATCAATCGGATCGTTTCCGTTAAATCTATAAAGATGTAGGTGCGTCGGCTTGTCTACGCGATCTAAAACGTTCTCCCAAAGCGGCGACATCCATTGGCCTATCAGCGGATCGTAAACCTTACCGTTTGGCATATGAACTAGGGAAGTGACCTGTATACCAATATACATGTTATAAATGCGTGAAATGCAACAGAAGAAAATGAAGAAAGTTACAAATATTGCATTCTAAATATCAATTTTATTATCTTTGTCATTTTTTTTCTTTTTTTTATATATTATTAATTATTAAGTGAAATTTTCATTTACCTGATCCAAAAGTCCTCCACAGAAGTCAACCGGTAAATAAAGATATGGATTTGAATCGTAAACGATGTGGCCGTAAGGCGATCGCATAATTTCCCTGATGCCTTCACCATACTGATTGAAGATCATAATGGGTGTACCGCACTGATCAGTAGCAATGTAATATTTGTGTCGGTATACTTGTGCGTAAATGAGATGTCCCCTGTCGTCGTAGACTAATGACATCAGTTTACCATCGCGCGGACTGTATATCTGGCTCACTTCGTGCGGTCGTTTCTGATTGTTGTAGAAGAACTGCGTGACGTTGCCGTAATTGTCCTTTCTCGTGGCCAGGCGATCCAGATGATCGTAATAGTATCGCACGTCGAAGCGGCCGCGTTTGATGGCGCGTACGAGAAGTCCTTTGGCATTGTAATTGAATCTCTCTTCTCTCGCGTTTTGCACCACCAGACCTCGGTTGTCGTACTTATACAGACCTTCGCCGAACTTGACTATTCGATCCATGGCATTGTACTCCATCGGGATCGTATTACCTCGATATGTGAGTGACAGCATGTTACCGTTGGCGTCGTATTTGAAACCCCACGGTTCCTGTGCCTCGACACCGGTCAACTGACCGTCACAGTCCCATGTGTAATTTTTTACATTAGTGTATGTATTAACGGCGACGTTGCGCGTGTACGTTCTCGTCTGATTGATTCGACCGCGTGAATCATGTGTGAATTCCATCCTGAATACCTCCATTCGATGGATCGTCACCGTGACTTGAGTCTCTAGGAACCGGTCATCTGTTGTGCGCGAGAATAACGCGGTGCCGTCGAATACAGTCGTCTCATTCGATTGCGGTCGTGTTACTTTAAACTGGCCGATTTGCTCTAATGTGCCTGACCTTGGACTATAAGCCATGGTGTGTGGTGGCAATGTCTGGCCGCCTATTCTACCCTGTACTGCGATCAGTCGGAAGTTCGAATCGTATTCAAACGTGAATTTGGCATTGCTCAGGCCGGTCTTAGCACCAAAATCTATGCGCTCCTCCACTAAAAGTCCCGCGCTGTATTGATAATCCCACTTGTACTCTACATCTCTCTCGGTGTGTATCACTTCGGAGGGTAATCCGCTCTCAGTGTATCTGATTTCACTTTTGCCATCACCGTGAACGATCTCCGCCAATTGACCCGAAGTGTGATATCTGTAGACAATACGAGCTCCGTCCCCTGGGAACACAGTTTGTAGCAGGTTCCCATCGTGACTATAGTGTTGTAGATAGGCTCTGATGCTGCCAGGTGGAGTATATGTCACCCTGAGAAAACCGAGAGACGCCTGACAAGAGAAGGAATGTTTGGTTTCCGATGGTAGAATGATATGTCGTAGCCCACCGTCGTCGTCGTATTGCAAAGAGAACTGTCTATTACTGGCAAGCGTAATCTTCGACAGCATATTAAAGTCATTATAAGTATATCGCTTTGTACCATCTTTGCTGTTGGTGATTTCTGCTAATTGACCATGTCGATCATAATCGTATGATTCGTCGGAGGCACCCCATTTCCAGCTGTTGATCCTGTTGAATCGGTCATAGATAATGCTAAGATTGTGACCCTGCTCATACGGTTGCCAGATTAACGGTAGGCCGGCTGGGTCAAAGGTCACCGTCAACAGAGGAGTCCCCGTTTTGTCGTAAAAAGTTTCGCGGCTGGATGCTTGCTCGAATTCGACGCTTATTACTCGCGTGTCGTTTACCCAGATCTCTCTGTTGAGCGTTTGCTGAGGTTGGCTAACGTCTCCGACCAAGTTGTACGTTGTTGTCATGGTATTCGTCAATTCACCCAATGACATTAATTGATAGCTCCACATGGGTAACATCTCCGCTTCTACTGGTAAAGACGGCTTCAGTAACGGATGTTTAGTCATGGCCGCACTTAGCACTCTACCGCCACCAGGTAAAAGAACTTCTAAACTGCTGTTCGTAAATGCGATTGCTTTCATCAGCTTAGTGCCTGTAAACAAGAAATTATTAAAATATTAGAGAAATATAATTTTTTTGCTTTTAATAATATTTGTAAGGAAATTAAAATATATTTGTGTATCAAATAAAATACATAAAACAAAAATTAATTAGCTAAATAAAATACCGTCAGTGACTGTCAACATCTTCGATTTTTCATTTTTCATCTCATACTCTACGATTCGCTGTTTATCGCCCTTCGATAAAGCTTGCAACGGGGCAGACACTTTAACCAATAAACCTTCGTCGTCAGATAAGTCCGAAGATAATTTTAATTTCTCGCCTGTTGGCAGTATTACATCGGTGACACGTCCCAAACTATCATAATTGTATATATATGTTTCATCCCCCTAAAATTTTAATAAAACATTATATGTTATTAATAAGAAATATTTATTCATAAATTAATTAATTTATTCATAAAAAAGCCTATAGAATTTTTTTATTACACAAAATTAAAATGTTTATTTTCAATGGGAAAAAAAATTATTCATTAATAAAAATGAGTATTAAAGATTAAGTACTACATACTCCTGATCGACTCGTAAGTAAACCGGTCGAGCCGTCATAACCCAGAGCAATCTCCGCCCTGCCGCGTTCGGACAATTTCTCTAAGAATCCAACTGCGGAGATCTTCAGCTCGGATTTATGATCTTGAGTATTCTCGATAGAGCTAACGACACTGCTATAATCTCGTAGAAACTGAATTTTATTGCCTGCACTGTCCGTCACCGTGGACAACTTGCCAAAACTTGTGTTCTTGCTGTACAAGAAGGAATAGCGAGTTTTCCCGGACGTCAAATCCTTCGTGGAGATGTGTTGACCGTAGCGATTGAACACGTAGACCTCGTTCGAAGGCGGGAATGGAATGCGGAACTCTCCGTTCTCGTCGTGATTCGGAAGATACGGCTGAAGAGCCAAAATATGAAGACTGCCTTGATCGGCCACATGCAGAACACCATCTGGCGAAACTGCCAAAGCGGATATCGCGGTAAACTTGGCATTCGACGACAAGAGCGTTTCAGTGCTGCTAGTATCGTCCATGCAGGTGCACGTGTCCATGTCTTTGGTGCTAGGTGTAGTGTTGTTGCACTCGCATTGGCCACGCAATCTTTCCTGCTGCTGGCCCGCGAAATGTGACATCTTTCCGGAGGAATCGACAATCCTGATAGAGTTCACTCGATGAGAATCACGATCCGCTATATATAGCTCGCCGGTTGGACTGAAACCGACAGCCAACACCGACCCAAGTACTTCGTCCGGTTTTTTCGGATTCGTCGTTATCGACGAGTTCAGTTTCGGAAGTTCGCTATTGCCATTATTGTTGTTATTTGCATTGCTGGTACAATGAAGAGGCGTGCCAGCAACTACGCGCACTTTCAGGTCGCTGGTAAGTTTTAGGACTAGCCTGTCGTCAATAAAGTGCAGGGATCCGTCCAATGGGCTCAAAGTTAATCCGGTGGGCCATTGTAATTGAGCCTGATGCGCGGGAATGGCTCCAATGCAAGGAGCAGGTGACCAATGATTATGATGACCGTGATGTCCTACGAGCGTATGTATGATACCTCGAGGATCAACAGCACGAATGTTCGTTCCGTCAGCGATGTACATCGTTTTATCAGCCGCAATTGCGATACCTATAAATAATTGCAACAAAAAAATACATTTTTTAAATTAATTTGCAAGTAATTTTTCAATTTGCAAATCTTATATTATTTACCTAATTTTCTAAAATTATATTTTGAATCACTCGATTATTGTAATATAAGTATCTCTTGAAAAAGTGACAAATATATTTTAATTCGTTTACGTTCTTTACCTTTTGGATGGGCCAATTTGGCATTGATGGCTGGACCTTCGTCGCCGCAATGACCTTCATCACCTGGGATACATCTCTCGCCACTTCCAACAACGGGTTCGATATTAATACTAGGGTCATGGACTTGTTCTAGCGAAAGCGCCTTCAATATCTGATGTTTCTCTGGATCGCTGATGTACAAGTGTCCGTCAGCCGGCGAGATGCACAGATAGTATTGATATGCCACTTGAGTTGCACTGCAAAAGACAAAATAAGTGTCCAGGATTAAATTTGAATTCTCACTGAACTTTTGATTCGTAAATTCTGTAAAAAAAAAAAAAAACACAAAATTTACCTCAAAATCAATACAGTGTAAACCTTCCCTTCAGGCGTGATTCTGCGTACAAGGTTGAAGTCTCCGACGTATATGCTGCCGTCGGGTCCACTAGCGAGTGCCACTGGCGTCAAGAGTCTAGCATCCTTAGCGAGACCATCGCAATTTTGACACACCAAACTCCTTTGGAGGCCGGTACCCATTACCACCTTCACAGTGCGCGGATACTGTTTGAAATGTAGAGTAGAGCCGTCGCCTTTCTGCAGGATCCCTTCGTGGAAGTTGTAATGGTGATGGATGTCGAGTCCCCAGCCGCCGATATCGGAGATATCGACATCGAATCCTTGCAAAGTGGCCGTCTGCGTCTCCCATATCACGGACGGACAAGTGGAATGCTGATAGCCGATCGAGATCCTCGCCTGCGCCACGCCGTATACCTTTTGCTTATAAACGTTTCTCTTGTTCCAAGCAAACGTGTGCGTCAAATTTGGGTCGGCCTCGTACGTTTTCGTGTGAAGCGAGCCCTCGATCTCGACGTGCACGTGTACGTGCGTCAGCGATTTCGGAATGAACGGTCCGGTCAGTTGCATTCTCACGGTAGAGAGATAGCCTGCAGCCTGACTGCTTTGATACATCAAGTGGAGATTGGAGCCCGGAATAGCAATGCTTTCCTGCACGATCTGCAAGCGATGTTTAACGTTGCGTTAATGCGGTCGCGCAACACTGTAATCTCCGTCGTAAATATTGTTACATTTGTGCAGTGTCCTCTGATGTTTCCCTTTGACTTTCGCGTAACATGTTAAAATATGTTGTTTGTCGTACAAAACTTTTGTTATTTAACTTTTATTTTAATATTATTTTAAAATCTGGCTTTGCACTTTCCATTCAGACGCGTTGATCTATTCCTAAGATAACTACGTCAAAAATTTGATCGTTCTAATTATTAGCGGAAAATCATGACCTCATTTTGATTGCTACAATGAATGTGTTATAATGAAATCGTTTGCGAAACTTACTTGACTTTCAGCAAAGACCAAGCTCTTTCCAGGCAATCCGCCAACTTTTTCCGGCATCCATGTGCTAACGATAATTGGCCGTAACGTCTCGTGATCGTGCTCCAAGCACGGACCATGCTCACTAAAGAGTCCCATCGAGATCCCTGGGAAGCCTATTTATATTGTATTCCATAAATGATAAGAAACTTAAAAATATTCATAACACTCAAGGACGGAACAAAGACGGCACACACGTTGAACAATTCTGAAAATGAGCGCTTTGTAAAGGATAACGCGGATAACAGACGCGCGATTCGATCCGGCTTAGTCGCGAAAAGCAATAATAAATTACATAGACCCCTTTAACAAAACTCTTGCAAATAAAAAAAATGTTTGAGCCATTTGCTTCTTTTGTTATCTCTTCTTTTCCCTGCGCGCCGGGGTTGGTTTCAGGTGATCGAGCACGTACGCGCGTTTATCGAAACGTTTGTGACGTTAATAGGTAACGCGATCCGACACGTAACACGATGAGATATATGTGCACCGGGTCGACCGACTAAAAACAAAAAAAAAGGAAAAGAAAAAAAATACCGTAATACATATCAGAGGCTCGATGCTTACCGACTGCCGGGCTCGGCGGTTGATTGGATTTGTACGATTCGCCTTCCTTGCTGAGGATCATCACAACGGGTGGCAGGACCACGATCTGATTCCAGGGTACGAAGACGGTCCTCGTGAGAGGTTTGAAGGGGCTACGCTGGAATTGAAGCGTCACGGCGCCTCCGCCATTGACCAGGACGTCGAACCTGATCAAAGTACGTAAATGCATTTCGAACTCCATTGCCGCCGGTATTACGTAAGGATCCGACGTAGGTCGATCAAGATAGTGCGCCCGTTTTATCCGAGAATGAATGTCCGACGGGGCCTTAGAGTTGGAATAGCGTATCTTGAAAGCTTCTTCGTCCTGCTTGATTAATTTTCTAAGCGCGACGTATCATTAACTAGCATAATTTTAAAGAATTTTTTGAATATAGAAAAATTTATCTCAGTCGCAACAAAAAAGAAATATATTTTCATTTTTTATCATCAAAAGTGAATTAAAAGGAAAATTAATAAAATTATTAAATATATGAAATTTGGGATATAATATAAATAATAATTGTTAAAGGAATAATAGCAGCTTTTGAAGTATTAGCAATGTATACTTAAAAAAATTTTTAAAGGGTTATTATGATAGTTCTATTTATTGAACAATGAACAAAGTAAATTTTTATTTATACGTGCTTTGTAATTCTTTCCTTTCAGCCCGTTCGTTATTTAAGTTTGTATCCTGGTTCAAAAGTGCGCTGTGGGATTTAATGAAGTAATATCCTTTCTCATATAAAATTACTGACTTCTCTGAAAGTCGGAGCAAACAAAAACTGCAGAGCACATTTTTAACAGGATTTATAGTAGCACTATACTTATTGTATTATTAATGTAGTTAAATTTAATGTTCCCATTGAACTATTTATAAAATAATCTTTATATAATAGATACACGCGATCATAAAAATAAATTTTCTGAGATAAGACAAAATATATCCTACGAGATTGATTATCTTTTATATTAAAATAATTTACATAATTTACTTTTTTATGAAATTTCGTGTATTAAAAATTAATTAAAAATTTACAAAATGTGATATCAGATTTTATATTAACGCACGGTCAAATTGTTCATGCCGAAAAATTCATCTAAGTTGCGCTGTAACGATATTATAATTGAAGGTGCATCAATGAATAGAATAATACGTACGCGCTTGTTATTTCGCATTTATGAGCATTAATTACGAGTAGGCGCGGTGTTCCGGTCGTTGGATTAATATGAATTAAATCGGGAGAGAATGCCCGAAACAAAGTTTCGTAACGAGTAGATTCGGTCGATATGCGAACGCATTTCGACGACCCGCGATGCATCGAGGGCCACGGACCGAGCGTGGTAGGTTTGCACGGAGTAATTAGTAAGCTTTCGACATCATTAGCTCGGGCTTTGATGCGGTCTAGTATCCCAACTCCTCCGCTTTCCTGTTTCAGAATTATTCTCGCCAGGATTGCTGTATACCCTCGCCCGATGTAGTCGTTCCCGCAACCACCTACCACCCACCCCCTCCTCCCTCTTTCATTACAATGCAGCCTTGATATTATCGCGCAGGACATCCAGCTCCGGCCCTACATGTCGTGCTCATCGCATGTACAAATGCTAATACAGCGATGATGACGGCATGATGACGGCGCGCGCGTGTTGGTTGCCGTTATAACTGTAAACAGATGTAACAACGGGCGTAACTCTTTCCACGAATCCCTTTCTATCGTCGGTAATATATTATCCCCGATAATATGACCCACTTATTTCACGCACGACACTCAAGGATAATTAGCAATCAGCAGATACGGATTTGAGATTACGCTCTTAAATGTTCTCAGGGCGTGATGGTAATGCATATATAATAATCTGAATTAAGCCCGTGATATCCGTCATTTACGTTATGGATGTCCGTCATAATCGTGCAAATCCCTCTTTCAAAATAATATTATGCCACAGTAATAACTACATCGGCTTAAAACGCGAACAGCACAATTGCCTCTACGTGTGTAATGGTGAATTATTAATACGAATTACTATTCATTACCATATCTATTAGGGACAAACCAGAATGCACGCTTAAAATCATTTATATCGTTTATCCGCATTCATAAAATTATTCCAACTCGGGCGTTTCGCCTGACCTTTTAGATTAAGAAAAATGATGAATTCTTTTTCCGTGCTTGATACTGGAGTGCGCACTATGATAATCGACCTTTATTATTTTTTAATGCAACAGGATCTTAAAAATTATTTATTTAGATGTAACGTTTAAAACTTTATCTCTATGATCAAATAGAGATTCGCAAAATAATTTCGCTTCTGAAATCTTTAAACGTCATAATAAATTGTCATTTGATTCTTACTATTAATATAACTTCCTCATTTTAATTTGAAAAAAACGGCAACAATAATGCACGACAATTGCCATTTGAAGTTGCATGTAGAGTAAAGTAGGTAATGGTATATAAAACATAGCGTAAATGGATTATTGATCCTTACCATCCATCTGCTCTGGTTAAGGTGAATCCAAAGCGCGAGTCCCTGTCCACGGACACTCTGATGCCTACTATTCCGAGTCCTTGTTCGGTAACAACTTGGCCTCGCATCACCGCAACTCGACTGTTACAAATTACAGATATATCGGGGTCCACCGAAGCGGGATCGTTTCGTCGACCCATTAATCCGCGCAATGCTGATTTAAAACGAAACATTTTCACAATTCACATCTATCTATTCGATCGGAATGCAATTTCAATCGGGTGCGCGCGTTAAATCGAAGCTCATACAATTTTGTAAAGAAAAATCGCGGATTTTGATAACGTTCCGTTGAAACATTGTTCGTATCTTAACGGATATATAGGAGAATAATGTACCAGAGTATTCAATTCCCCTCGGATATTATCATGGATTTATAATCGACGTTAAAGCTTTCGGTCTTGAAATAAACGCTTCGGCAATTTCAAATTTAATTATTTTTCTACTCATTAACACTTTACACTTTCATAAGATTCAGAAGCCGTACGTTCGAATTATGTCACGATTCAATTTTCTGCGATCTCACCACGGACAACGGCGGCACCCGTTAATACCCACTTAGTGCCCGCCTAATTAACGGGTAATGCGACCGTACTACTCCCGGCCGGTGCACGACCGATGTCTTTACGCGAGCGCGGACGCGAGCAATCGATTTCGCCTGTTAAATCAGCTTCCGCGGTCAACGGTTCAATGCGATCCAATATTCTCACTTCGCTGCCAATACAATCCGCAACTCCATTCGGCCGACATTCGACGGCCGCATTGCCACGTACAAGGGAAGCTAATGCCTCTGGCTGAATCGAGGAGCGATACAAATTGATTTTACAAATAGAACAATGCCGCGTAGGCGAGGGGTGGCGGAACGGGTCGTGGGGTTGGACGGCGGGGGCAGCGGAACACGCGCAGTGCGTCGACGATGCATTGTGCTCGCGAAAATCAGCATTCGCGGTGGTGGCGATGGCAGCGAGGCGGGAACATTCTTCTCGGCACTGACTTTCAGGATTTTCAGAGACCAGAAAATAGGTGAAAAAAAAAGGATGGAAAAAAAAAAGACATAATAATACTTCGTCCCGAAGCGGATGGACGTAGGGTGGGGAAAGAGGGGAGATTCGTAAGGGAGAAATTATCTCGTGAGAGAGTAAAAGGCATGCAGTCATGTTATATAGATACGTAGTAGGCGTGAGATATGTAATATGTAATATAATAATAGACGTATTATATGAACTTTTTCACGAACGGAACGGGAGAGCAAGAGAAAACGGATGTAAAGGCCGGGGGGGGGAAGGGGGGAGGGGGTTGGACTCTCGGCGAGAAAGTTGAAATGTTTGAAGCTGAATATTTTAAGCGATTCGTGTAGTGCTGAATATAATGAGGTCGATGTATACAGGTACGTAGATAATATATATATATATAATGTATATAAGAGATATATGCGATACGTCGCATGTACGTATGTAGCTTGTTACACCGTCGTTGGGCCGGCCGGGTAACGAATGTAACGCGGCACGTGCAACATGAGCTACGGTCCCCCGCGCCGTGTAACAAACTATATACCCGTTTATATGCATTCGGTATGTAGATATATATAAATATATATATTTATCAGTCTCTAAGGGATTGCGTATGGGGGCATATTCGTTCTTGGAGGATCACGCGTGTCCCCAACGCTGCGCGTGACGTCGATGATCGCATCGTCCAACTTAAGACCACCGACCATTTCCAATCGTCGCGATTATCGAGTTTGTAGATTTTATGAGTGCATCGTGCTCAGAGATCGAAACCGGGATAATTCCGACGAGGTCAGTTCTTATATAAAAAATATATCGGATACGATAGCGACGCTTTTATTAACTTTTTAGAGACCATTAAAACAACGTTGATATTTTTGTCTGAATTAGTAGCAATTTTCTTGTCTAATTATTTGATGATTACTTGTGATTAAAAAATTACGCAGAAAATTCCATGTAAAATATAATAACGTTCACAAACATTCTCTATAAGAGTATAGTTTCATTTTAAAAATTGACTGGATTAATAGCTTCTATTTTTGAAAGCACGAAGTAGTTAAATTTTGTATAAAAAATATTTATATTTTCAAACTAAAAATTGCTACTGTTTCTCTTAATGGCACATGTATATTTTTGCTAATTGTTACGTTTCCATCACGAATAAACGCAGATATTTCTATGAATGCAGGAAAACGAATTATGAAATAATTGTCGGAGAATGCTGCCGGTTTCGATTACTGATCGTGCCTTCATTTCGGGTGGCTTGGAGATCAAGCTGTGCCGGGGAGGCGGGCGCTGATCCTCCAAGTGCGAGCATAGCAAGGTGGCAGGCACAGTCGTCACTACTGTACGTCCAAACCCATAGTGAATGATAAACAGAAAAAGAAAAACGGATGATGCTCGAATGCACCGAAATCTCTAAAGGCAATCTTAGTCAACCTATATATGCAAATAACGAAAGAAGAGAATGTACACGCGCAACGCGTACCTAACGCCGTTAGAAGTGATTAATCTAACTTATTCTTTTGCGTTATTCTTTTTTTCTACTTTTTTTTTTTTTTACTTTCTTTGTCGCCAAATTTTACAAGTAAAAATGGTCATCGGCGATTTCATTCTCTTTCTCTATTCTTCCGTGAGTCCTTCTCTCGATTTATCTATCTTTTCTTTTACTCTCTCCGCCTCTTTTCCGTCGTTCTCACGCGAACGAGGACATCGAGGACCAATCTCGGAGAAATATCAAGACGCACGAGAGACCGCGAATTTTCAGTCGAAATGATCTTAGCGGAATTAGCAAATGTTTGTCATTTTTTCAGTAAGTACTCCGCGCCAGAAAGAAGCATCGTTAATAGTAGAGCGGGAATCGTCGGGGGGGGGGTAGAGTGGACGAGATTGAACTCGGGATTGGCCGGGTCTGGGCATGATCATCTCGGTGGGTTTCAATTTCCTCGGATATCGGATAAAGACAGACACAGGGCGTTGGTATCGGGTCATTGGCACATTTTAGACAGGTGATAATAGACGTAGACAAGGGACAAGGAGAGACGGTCCTTTGGGGTCCTTTATCATAAACTGTACGGTGCCGATTAGGAATACTTGCCGATTCATCGATAGAACAGAAAGCGAATATGTACACTTGTTGAGTTATCATTTCGTGTTCGTATCGTATATATATATAATATATAATATATGATAGAAAAAGGAACGATATAATAAAAAGAACGCAACAGAGTCGTTCACGCAAGAGGCGCGCAATAAGGTCAGCGTTCGTGTAAAATGCTAGGACGTTCACTATAAGACAAGTTCGACAGGATGATACATAAAGTGCAAGCCTGGCAAACACAAACAACACAAGACCAGGTTGGTAAGGTACACGACTCGTAAACATACTATTATGTATATCAGTCATATGGCTAACGCATCTAAGGGACAATAAGACAAGACATAACAGAAAGGGGAGACAACAATCTGACGACATATCACAGATAACACAGAGACAATTCGTACGATTGACTTTAATGTAATACGTGGAAGAGCTTTTGCCCATGGACAGACGCTCGGATGATGCGTACAAACGTATTATATTCATAAGTGAGATAGAAGATGACCCGATAGTTAATGGGACTCTGTATGCCGTAACAAAAAGAAAACGACATACAGAGTCTTCAGAATCAGATAGTGATATTATTTTTAGAACATTTCGTTTCTTTTTTTTTTCCTTTTTCTATGATTAAATTACGCCCTGGATCTATTTCCGACGTGGATTTTACACAAAACGAGAGAGAGTGTTCTACAAAGAGGATTTTAAAAAAGTAGGTTACCGAATATTTGTTGTAAATTCGATATCAATACCAGGAGGATTGTTTCTCGTTCGTATGTTTTTTCGAAGTCCATGGCGTTTTTATTTGCGAACATGCATTCGACTATTTTTATAAAAATATGAACGGAAACCCGACAAGAGACGTGCGCGCGCGCGGCGCTACCTCGAGCGGGATAAACTGCTGCAAAAACCGTCGACGACTCATCTTCTGTACGTATCAACGCGAGCGTGGCCATGGGACGCGAAAGTGAATAAAGACAGATAGGTCAGATAGGTAGAT